GAGAGTGTCGGAAATGTTACCTGCCCTCCTCTATTTGTTGCAAAATTTAGGGACAAGGAGGATGACCATATGTGTTTTCTTAAAATCAATGGCCAGCACATTACTGTAAAACCTATTGATTAAAAACACAAAGTATAATGTTGGTCATTTAGTCTGTGAAGTGAGACGATAAGGGAAGAAATTTATCCTCTGGCTTTTGCATTAACCTTTATTGACTGCTTGCATACCCATAATTAACACACACTTTAGCTAAAGTGGTTAATTTTAGCACGGTGGCCAATGTTCACTAATGTAGCTGCCATCTTGATCGTCCAGCTGTGAGTGAAGCCCTGGGGGAAATCAGTGAGTTATACCTCAGGGTGAGGGCTGCAGGACCTCTGGACCAGCCAGAATCCTACTCTCTCACTAGGTCATTGAGGGAGAACCATCCTAAACAGCAAAAATCCCCAAGGGTGGTCCATTGAGTCACTTGAGTGGAAGCCAGGGGAATTTGGGAAAGAGGGCTTGTAGATTAGGGCAGGGGATTGTTTTGTTTGTTTATGAGTTTTTTCATTCCCTTGAAGCGTTTCAATAGAGGAGCAGAATTTTTTAAGTAGATCCATGTTTACTTGCTAACTCCAGAAACATCCAAAAGTGGAGTTGTCCCCTTAAGATATGAGAATGGATGTTGGAAGCTGTGGCCTCCATGCTGGGTAGCTACAGACAGTAAGAGCTGGAAGAACCCTAAGTTGGGTAGGATCTTTTAGATGGTCTGGAAAGATCATCTGGCTCTGGCCATGAAAACTGGTTTATTTCCTAGCAAAAGCCCTTAAGTTCCTAACTTCAAACGCAGATTGTTGGCGTGCAGGCTGCAGAGAATCAGCAGCAATGTGATGCATGGTAGAGTCGTGCAGATGTGAGCAGTGGCTGAGGCGAGAAGAGTGTCTGGCATCAGCAGATTCTTTGGGTTGCAAGTAACAAAATCCCTAAGTCAGACAATCAAGTTTTGAGAATGTGCAGTGTGCAGTGTCCTGTGAGCCTTCTCCACCAGACAATATGGTTTAGAACCCTGCCTCTGATGGCAGGGAAGGAAAGTGACCACGGAAGGTCAGGGCTGCACAGAGCAAAAGAGAATTTTCCCTCAGCCGCTGCTTCAGACCTCGATTCTGGTTTTGTCCAGATTGAGTTTCATGCCTCTCGTAACCATCCCCTGTCACTGAGAGAAGGTGCTAATCACATCACCATGCTTGGCATCTCTAAAACACGTCTTAAGGCACACAGAGTCCCCCCTTTTGCAAGGGACTGTAAGATAAAGGGTATACATGCTGAGAAACAACCCAGCATGGGTTCCTGTGAGTGGCAAGTCCACTCGAAGCAGCCACCACTCAAGGGGCCTGAACCAGAACCCTTCTTTAGTGTTGGCTGGTAGTACTGGTCCTTCCAAGTCTGTGCCTTGTAGCCAGCCACTGGAAACTTGCAGCAGCTTGACTGGGTAAGCCACAGGCTGTTTGACTCAAGTCACAAAGAACTATGCCAGGACTGCTGAGCTTCCCCCTAGAGAACCCGTCCAGAGGCCGCCACTGAGGGATTTTGGAAGGAGGAGAGAGCCACACTGTAACATGCAGGACTCTAATGGCATCTCTTGTCCCTCAGTGGCACTTGTGGTAGCAGTAATGATAGTGGTGGTGATATTTAATAGTTACTGAGCTGTGAGCTGGGTGGTCTTCCAAACACTATCTCTGTTCATTAATTTAATCACAGCAAACCAAAGTCAGAGTGTCATTACTCTATGTGCATGTGTGATTGCAAACACACACACACACACAGAGAAGGAGAGAGAGAGAGGGAGGGGGAGGGGGAGGGGGGGGAGAGAGAGAGAGAAAGAGAGAGAGAGAGAGAGAGAGAGAGAGAGAGAGAGAGAGAGAGAGAACGAACGAACCTAGGGAATATTTCCCCAGATTCCTCAGGCATGCCTGAATTAATGGCTAATAATAATAACAACAACAGCAATTTTTCTGGGCATATATGCCTAGGATAAAGTTAATTTAAACATAGGCACAGAAAAAGATGAGCACCAGTAACTAATAAAACAGAAACATTTTAATAGGAGATGCAATAGAAATGAGATGAATTTGAGTTGTCCCCCTCCGTCACCCTGAGGCCTCGAGGTGCTGTGAGGTCTTTACAGCGACGAGCCGGGCTGATGTGGGTGACACTGCCATGATGCTTTGGTGCAGCCTCAGGCCGCTGTGGACCTTCTGATATCATGTCATGAGGATTGTCTACCCTCTGACTCCAGATCATGACAGTGTGGGCCAGGTCGCTTGTACAGTGTACTTGCATGGTTCCGAGGGACAGGGGTAACTCACATCCTGGCTGGGGCAAGGGACTTCATCACACTGCTCAAAAGTCTCGCACAACTTAAAACTCACAAAGGTTTCTAGAATTCTCCATTGGTTGACTGTGGGTAACTGAAAACCAGGGGATAGATAGCAGGAATCCTGGCCCACTGCTACTTATTTCTGTCATCACCACTAGACAGACAGGAGTCCACAGCTCCATAAGATAAAGCACTGCCCAGATGATGTGTCCCCCAGAAGCATTGTTTCCGGAGGACCCACTGTGACCCATGATGCTGCCATCTCCCTACTGCCTCGCCTAGGGACACTGTAACCCCAGCAAACAGGATTGATGTGAGCGAGAACCACAGTAGCAGCTGAAAGGGCAGAAGCCCCCAGATCATCCTCAACCCTTCCACAGTCTGCTGTAACCCTGAACCAGACTGTAGCTGGGGGGTGGGCCAGGTGTCCCGCTCAAACATGAAACCCTGCTTAGCCCTCTTGCTGGCCACTGAGAGAAGAATTTTACAGCAATCTTAAAATCTCGGAGAAACTCAACAAAGGTTCTTATCCCTACCCATATGAAGTCAGTGGCTATGTAAATACACACACACACACACACACACACACACACACACACAGCTCCAAGCCTGCCAGGGTCTGTATGAAACCAGGTGGGTCCCTCACCAGGCATCCTTGGTGAGAACAGTGGCAGCAAACTGGGAAGCAGCTTGCCCAGAAGCACCGCCATTGGCCTTGGGATGCTTGCACAGGCCAGTGTGCACACAGCTTCGCCATGGGTCTGAAGATTTTTAATACTTTCTCAAAGCGAGGAGGCAAAACCATTTGACAGCTGAGAAAGCATCTCTATTGACTTTTTACAAACCTTATGATATTCTAGGTGGATCGACACTTATCACAGCCCTTTAATCTGCCAAGCAGGATAATATGTGCACGGATAATTTATCCACTGTGAGATTGAAATGCTCAATTTGGAATAACTTTCCCTACCCAGTAAATTGAGCATTACTCTGTGATTCTGAGGCCGAGAGAAAGTACAATTTAAAAAGCTTTGCTGGGTCCCTTTGTAATTAGTCGCAGCTTCTCTTGAATATTAACTCCCCCTCGTCTTTTTCAAGTGATTTAGAGACTGTCACAGGAGCTGCAGAGATGCACCCTGAGAAGGGTGACAGCCAGCGACGTAGTCTCCAGCACCCATTGTGAAGTAGGCTACAGAGCATGCCCTCTGCCCCTCCACACCAGTGCGCTTATCAGCACAAACAGTTGACTATTTATGCTAAGAGGATTGTCAGAATCTGCTCCTGTTGCTTTCATTCTTGTTTTAAATAAATAATGAGAACGTTTAAACACATTACTCTTCTTGGGGCCCCCGAGGTCAGCTAATCTTATTATTTATGAAGTGGTGTGCTACATAATAGTACTTAGTGCATGTTAACAGACGCTATTATCAGGGTCTGATGCAGAGAGCAGAAGATATATTGGAATGTTACGTGTAATGTACGACGGACTGAGTGCATAGGATGCCGGTATAGCAATTAACCACATGCGAAAATAGGTGTAAAGCTGAAGTCTGCTTTCCCCTGGGAGTCTCCTCACCATTAATAATCCCCTAGAGAAGACACAGCTTTCCTTGAGGATCTTACCCAGTCTTAGGACTTGGAGTGGGCGTGGCCACTCTTCAACTGACATTGAGGGGGAGGGCAGGGATGGGACACCCGCACAGCTGTTGGAAACACAGGTTTGGTGCGTGCGCTCTGCCTGTAAGAAATCATTCATTACTTATTACACCCTTGTCTTTTTTTCTAGGACCCTCATTTTTCAGATAACTGGAGCTGAAGCCATAGCATTTCCCAAGCCCAATTTTAGATGCGCTCAACTCTCCAAGAGGGTGGCGCCTCAGAGATGTGAGGATGTTACCCCAACTTTTTCCTACCAGGCTATAATTTAGCTGCATATGATAATTAATTTCTCTACTATTGATGAATAATCCATTTAATAAAAACCGTGATTTAAGTGTTTTCCTTGGGGACTAACTCTTGCTAGCCTCTTAATTTAATTTTGTGGAAGTTTCTCCACCTATTCATCAGTGGAAATGATCATTAACCTCCATTTGCATATACCCTTATAAACCTCTCTCTCCTTGGAGTGCCTTTTCTCTGAGCCCAGCAAGCTGGGACACTTGTAAATCTCCAGGATCTCCAAAGTCAATCCTGGTCTGTAATATTGTTTAATCTATTCTTGGACGTTTTAATGCAGTAAATTCAATTTAATCTTTCCCAGTAATCTAGTAATACATCGAAATCCCACAAACATTTAAATCTGATAATGGCTTAATCACACACTTTAAATAACTGTTGAGATAATGAAAAAATAATTCACCATTTTAAAGGCAGAGTAACTCAATTTCCCTGGTGATTGGCTTTCCTGAAGCCACTGGAGATAATACAAATCTGGGAATTGGAAAAACTTGAAGCTCTAGCACTCAGAGAGGCGGATTTCTCTCAGAAGTGTGTGCTGTCTGCCTCACAGCCCTGCTCCTGCCTCACGCTCGCCTTCACAGGGACTCTTGTGCACTTGCCAGTGCCGTTCCGCACATTTTCCAGAAGCCTGGAGCTTCCAGTACCTCCCCAGTGGACTAACTGTCTTCTCTCCTTCTTCTAGGTGCCAGTCACGAATCATCCGGAGTTTACCAGCACAGCAGAAACCAGACTGCCGGCCATACTGGGAGAAGGATGACCCTTCCATGCCCCTGCCCTTTGACCTCACAGACGTGGTTTCCGAGCTCAGAGGCCAGCTTCTGGAAGCGAGATCCTAGAGGAAGTACAAGTCTTAGGTGGAGAAGGAAAAGATATTCTTGGCTTTCCTCCCCAAACCTTGGACCTGGGTAGTGTAGATTCCTCTCAACCCCGAGGTTGTAGGACCTGGGTTCCAAATCCAAACAGCTAGAGAACAAAGTCCACAGATACTGAAATGTTGAAAAGTTACTGTGTTTAGTCTGATTTGGTGTTACATTAGAGCACCCCTTCCCCCCCCCCCCAAATATTCTTCACTCATTTTTCCCCCTTGGGAGCTCCTTTGTCCCCAAGGCAGCAACAGGGATGAGCTAAGCCTGTGACAAGCCTCACCTGCTTTCCCCTTTGGCTAGCTACCTCAGAGACGGGAACTAGACCTAGCCATGGGATGACAGAACTAGAGACATCCATCCCAGCTTCTCACCATGGCTTCTAGTGGTTAGACCATCCAAGATGGCAGCCAGCGGCTCACCGTGACTGCACGGACATAAATTCAGCTCAGTTGTAGTTAAAACTCCATTCTTCAGTTGCCTTGGTGTGTGCTGGTGACTGCCGGTTTACACAGTACATACAGATGGTTTTGTGTTTCACACATATGAGTTGGCATTCATTCGTCCAGTTTTCTGTAGCGGCTAAGACATGGAGAAAAGCAGTGAAAGGCAATCACCTCAGTCACCTCTTCCCTCCTCTTCGAGGGAAGGGGCTGTGAGCCCTATGCACCACTGCACACAGGAAAAGGAAGGAGCTACAAAGGAAACAGCCACCCCCTGTCTTTATGGGGTTTCCCTGATCCACTGACAGAGCCCAGCCCTATGGACACTATTCTGTGGCGTTAGTGTTTTCCTAGAACCCCCCCACTCATAGGCACTGATGGCAGGTGTGAAGGACTCAGTTCCCAACCCAGTGACAAGAGTGCATCAGAGAGACCATGGACAGATGTTAAGCCTGCACTCTGATTTCAAAGTGCCAAGTTTAAGACACCCCCCTTCCTCACTCTGTGACCTCTGCGTGTCCTTGGGTCTCAGTTTTCTCATCTGTATGGTGGGAGATGCCAAAAGTACCAACTCCTAACATGACAATGACGTGATATGACCGAGCTACAGACCTAGAGTAATTTCTAGCATACCACTAAATATCTGATACGTACCAGGGTCGTTATATGAGCTAACCTGAAGAAGCCATCTTCCTCCCCCAGTCTGCAGTCCCTTGCTGTCTGTGTCTTGTTTGGCCCACATCTTTCTCTGCTGACCTGAAGCCTTTTGGTGACTGAAATATTAACAACAGTTAGCCCATGATTTTCTTGTATTGGCCGAGACCTGCATTTGAAAGGGCACAAAACAGTAGTGTTTTTTGCAGAGCCAGGATGCCATTTAAGGTGCCCTCTTGCCTAGAGTTAGCCACAGAAGCTACACTCCACAAGCACCTAGGATTTTCTGGTGCAGGGACCCAAGGCTCTCAGACCTTGATTTGTTCCCTTCTGTCTCTGAGCCAGAACTTCCTCATCAGTAGAGAGGTGAGGTACATTCTCACAGGGTAAAATGGAATGTTCTAAGTAAGGGTACTGGTGGCTTCATATGTCACAGGCTGTCCCATCACCCCCAGCCCCAGCCATCTGGCTCTGTGGTTTATTAGGCCCCATGATATTTCTTCTTTGTTCAGTTTCATTGGGTGCCAAAATTAAAAATCAGGAGATTCCACATAAAATAAAAATGTCTACATTCTCTTTAGAAGCCAGGATACCTGTGAGGCCCTGGGTTTCCATAGTCGCATGGCAGTGGCTTGGCAGTGTCTGTGACCTCTGTGCTCTGCTGTGACCCTGCTGCTCCCTGTCACCATTTTGTAAGCCTGCTCCCCAGCAGCGCTTTCTAAACCTGCTTGCTGACATCCTGTAGTAGAAAGCAGTAGCATCGAGTGCTCAGTCCGTGTGTCTCCCACTGAACTGTGTCCATGGTCTGCTTGTACTGCCGTACTGTGTGCATCTGTTCATACACAATAAAGAATTACCAGATGAGAAGCCAAGGAGTGTCTGCACTTTTCTCCCTGCACGGCAGTGTGGGGCTGGCCTTGCTGGGTGGGTGAAGGAGGTTCTCAATCCTCCAGTTGTACCTACCCGCATTCCTACCGGCCTTTCATGGCTGACAGGTTACAGATCACTTGAGAAAAGTGCTCTAAAAGATGCATTACCCTGGGTGTTGGGGGGCTCTGGGCCTTTCTCTCTCCAGACTCCAGCAGTGGGTCTGCCTTTCTCCAGCACTCTAGGGAGTCCTAGGTTAGATACTACTGCCAATCTCTGTCTGCCAGGGTATACAGAATGACCGCTTAGGGATCTATACTGTCATCGGGAGATGGTCGAGAAACTGTGGCAAGATCATTGTAGATGCTTGTGCTTGGAGTGGAAGCAACTACGTAGGCCTGGAAGGGAACTTGGGACCAGTAACAGAAGAGAACTGGTAGATTCTCCAGGGGCGGGAGGGAAGACCTTGCCAGAAGAAGGGATAGCAGTCACAAAGACGCTGACAATAGGTGACTCAAAAATATAAAGGAGAGGGGTTTGGTGGCCCAGGCAGAGAAAGCCAGGAGAGTCCTACCATCCCTCATAGAGCAGAAATGGAAGCCGTGTTCCCTGGACAGCATGGAGGATTTCCTACAGGGGAAGGTAGGGACTGCTCGATGAGATATTTTTATGCTTTCAGCCATCGCTGTGACTAATGCCTGGATCCCAAGGGTCACGGGGAGGAACAGACTCACTTCCAGGGAGAATCATGGCAACCAGAAATTCCATGTGGTGGAAAGGACGCAAGCAGCCACCCCCAGGGTACGGAGTCCACGCCAAGTAGCACCCAAAACAGCCCATCCATGCCTGCTCTAACCAGCAGCCTCCTGCCTGACAGAGTTTTCTAGACAAAAAGAAGTGGGGTCATGGCATGGCTTGTGACACAGTTTTAGTAATAAGCTTCTAAATCCATCACTGAGTGAATGGAGGGGTGCCAGAAGAGAGATTGCATGAGCCCTGCCTAATGCCAGGGTGAACGCTTTGTGTGTGTTTCCAGGGAAGGTATTTTCCAATGCAACTTTTTTTTTTTTTTTTTTTTTTTGCCTGCTCTAGTTAAGGCCGATTTTACCATTGGGCAAATTGCATATATTTGGATCCATGCCACGCTAAATACTGTTTATTCTGTGGATCTGTCAGAGGCCAGCGCATGGAAGACAAGGGGATTCTGATTTGAAAAGGCAATTCTCATCCAAACAGGTTCAGATGGAGCGGAGCGGCGTGGATTAAAAGGCGCTGAAGTGGTAATGCCGTTTATCCAGTTTGCCTTTGTTACTCTGTGATTAAATGGTATTTTTAATTAAGTTTCATTGGGAGCCATAGGTATCGAGGTGGTGAAATCAATTTGACAACCATAAAGAGGGAGGAAGGCGCGGGCGGGTTGTAATGACTGCCACCGAGACTGCTGGGAGAGCCATGGAGAGTCAGCGGCTCGGAGAGGATGGAGAGAAAGCAGGCAGCTCTAATGACTTCTGAAAGGGGACCAGAGCACCCAGGGCTGGGGGGGGGGGCTGATCTCAGGGGTTGTCAGTAAAAGAAATACTTTCACTCCCCTGAGATACCCACATAGATCCAGATAGACTCCAGAGTATGCTGGCAAGTCCCGGGAAGAAGCTGAGGAACCCGTTCCCGTTTCTGTTGTGTGTACAGTGACATGGTAGAAAGTCCTCCCAAGGCCCAAGCAAGCAGATCCATAGTCCTCTCTGACATCCTCTTTTCTTACCTCATGGTTCACTTTCCCTTCAGAACCTTGCCAGCACAGGTTCTTTCTGCTATCTAGCCTAAATCTTCCTACATCAGAAGCTGGTTTCCTTTCCACACATCCCCATCTGATTTCCCAAGATGTACGACTGGCAGTAGAGGCTTCTGGGTACAGACTTTCTGGGTCTGTGCTAGTAGTGAACGTGTCACCCTAAGGCCACCTACCCCTTTCACCTGTCTACCAAAAGGAAAGTGTAGTGATGTGACTGGGGTCTGAGCAGGTCGTGAAGATCCGGCAGGTTCACGTACACGTACAGTGGCACACGTAGGTCTTCAGGAAGTACCCATGATCATGGACCCATTTCCCCAACATCAAGGTTCTCAATTTATGACCCAGACAAATGGCTGACCTCTCTGAGCTTGACACAGTGGGGGAAGATGGAGGTGTGAACTAACTCTCGGGTGTGCCCACCACTGCAGACATGCATGGTCAGTGAGCCCCATAGTATCTCAGTGATCACTCAGTGCCTGTCAGTTACTATAATCAATGATACCCCAACCAAAATATTCAGTAGTCACCAAGAAAGAGAGCGCAGCTAGCTGCAGTTTGCTTAAGAAGAAGAGAATACCACCAACACATATTTATCCCACTTGCTCTTCACGGCTTCCATTTTTTTTCTCGGCAGATGGCCTGGAACTTCTTATAAATGAGATAGTATGAAAAATGACTCCTTCATACTGCCATTACCGAAGCAGGATTAGGTCACCCCTGGCAATTTCAGATTTGCTTAAAAACAGTCCTGCCTCACCTTCTAATGGATGGCCTGTGTACAACAATTGTTTATCGACTCAGATGCCTGAGGACGAGGGTCAGTCCGCTTCGGGGGGGAGGGAAGCATTAATTAACTCCCGCCACTAGACCTTCTACTTCTTTTCCAATGACGTGCAGTGCATGACTTGGTCCTCATTTACTTTTTCGTCAGTCCTGAAGGAACTGAGGTGAACCGGTTCGCCTGCACATATGTGTCGGGCTAAATGGATCACAGCAGATACAGATCTGTTTGCCTGTCTGCACTTGCCTTTACACAAAATTCATCAATTTTACAAAAGCTACTGGCTAGCCTGGCTCCGATACAAAGGACGACGGATGGCCTTTCAACCTGGGTTTTCTCTTTGTTTTTAGCCTGCAGGGGTGGTAGTGTGCTGGCCTTAGACCAGCACAAGGCCACTCTATCGGAATACTTTCCCAAAAGTGCAGTGGTTCGAAACCAAGCCCTTGGACCAATCTGGCACTATCTTGCTTGGTAGCACATTTAGATCACCCATGGGGCTGGAGAGGCACCTCAATGGCAGAGCACTTGCCTGGCACATGGGGACCCTGGGTTTCATTCACAGCTCTGCAAACAGTAAAAGGGGGGCAGGGATCAACAACCATCACTCCCTTCATGATACCAGTATCAAAATGACTGTCTGACTCTTCTAAATACATCCTAAGCCAGAGGGAGCTCTTCCTGTGATTCCCTCCTCTTAACGAAGGTATCTCATAAGCACCCAAGCCCATGTGGAGTGTTGCTAAGTGACCGGGAACATTTCCGGCTTCTGACCAGGCAATGCAATGACATGTGGCTCGCTCTGAAAGGTTCAGCAGCAGCAAAGCCACGTCCCCAAACAGCCATGAAGAGTATGCTAAGAGCTACTCTTGCTGGTTTGTTTGTTTATTTTTCAGACTCCATACACCCCGTGGCAATACCAAAGCTGGCCACAGATGCATCCCGTTCTTCATCAAATTATCCTAGAACCTCAGGCACTTCAGGGAAGATAAATATGCTTCCGTTTGCTTCTTGGCAAAATGGCTGTCCCCACAGATGACCCCTGTTTTCCTTTCAAATGAAGGATGAGGAACAAGCAACCTCCAAGCCCCACCATGGGTGAATCAGTTCCCCAAAGCAGCGAAGCTACAGCTGGTAACTCACCCGTCATGGAAACTGGGCCCCTGGTCCCCTCCTTTTTTCTCCCACCCCCAGCTCTTCTGACAGTGGGTTGCCCTTGATTACCGTGATTAGAGCCGGGGTTTGGGGGGGCAGGCCAGGTGTATAGGATCCCCACTGTCTCCCTCTAAGACTCCCGACCAGGGTCAGGCTGAGAGCCATCCCAGGGACTATCTGAACAATCAGCCCTGTTTACCATGGATGCTTAGTTTTCCTTTTACAAAATCAAAACAGAGTTTAGTAGGCAGTATATTTCATACATGCCCCTTGATCAGTGCAATGACCTGTCAGAAGCCATTACAGCCCCCATTAGCTCGGATGCATTCAAAGCTAAACCATTGGATCATTTAAGGGCCGCAGTGATTGTTTTTAATATACCGTACATTGATTTCTCCCCATGAGCAGCAACATAAGTTTGAGACTAACTGTGTATGACTCCGGCCCCATTTGCTGTCTCCAGCCCTCCGTGAGAAGCTTGCTTTCATTTGACCAGAAAAGCACTGGGTATACTTTTCAAAGCCATGTGGCCCCTGGTGGAGTTTCGGACGGTTAGCCTGGGTGGGGTTGTTACTTTTTATGTTTTTCTGAGGGTTCTCCTGTTTCTTTGTCTCCATTGAGTGAGCTGCCATGCAGAGGAGCGTTCCTGCTGAGAGGGCCTGGGTTGGAAGGCTAGGGAGGAACTCTTTCTGAAACATGAGGCCCAGCAGAGGCCGGCATTGAAGTGACGCTGACAGTGTACATTGCCATCGAAAGCCTATGCCCAGTCCGTGTGGGACCGTGTGTGGCTGTGCAGAAGATACCCTCGTTCAGCCTGTGGAGCTGAAGGGCGGAAGAGTAAGGGAGCAGCCAAGGCAGCCTAGTTAGCCCCACATTGCCAGCTCCGCCAGTGCTGCCAATTCTTTCTGCCTTAATACTACAGATCCACCTGTCGGTTCCTTCTTAAACACAAGAGCAGCGGGAGCCCAAGACTTTCCCAAAGAACCTTTCTGATTCCTGCCCTTTGCCTTTGACACAAGGCCTGAGAATGGGGGAAGGGAGGAGCAGCTTGGCTGAAGAGAATCCTCACCCTATTTACAAGGGCATGTATCCCAGGCAGGGGTATTTCTATATCATACCCATTTTACAGATGGGGCAAATGAAGCCCCAATGGGATTGATTGGGTTATAAAAGGTAAGTGATGTAAACTGGGCTTCAAGTTTCTGATGTTTAGTGGAATTTGGAAACAATACGTTTGAACTCAGCCTCCCACATAAACCTGTGTTCTATTGAAGACAGCAATT